ACTCTTGTATTGGCTATAGTGCGCACGCTGAGCGGCTGGTAAGTGGCGACGCACAGCAAGGCGAGCAGCAGCATCGTGTGTGGCCCACTGTGAGCGAACAGTGCTGTCAGCAGTAGCAGGCGGGGCGGGATAGACACCAGAGGTGAGATCGAACAGAGAGAGTCCGTCTGCCCTATCGCACTGAAGAAACAGTTGGAGGTCATCGACCCAGACCTCAAAGTCAAAGGCACGGCCCTCAGCATCAAAAGTAAGGACACTCGGGGTAGCCATGACTGCAGTGGCCTAGTAAGGAGTGACCTCACCAGTAGGAACAGCAGCGGCTCGACAGTAGGGCGGCTCGGCGGCTCGACGGCGCGGCGGCTGGGCGGCTTGGCTGCTGGGCGGCTCGGCTGCTAGGCGGCTCGGCTGCTGGGCGGCTCGGCTGCTGGGCAGGTGGGCGGCTCGGCTGCTGGGCGGCGCGGCTGCTGGGCGGATCGGCTGCTGGGCTGCTTAGCGGCTCGGTCGATGGGCGGCTGAGCGGTGACAGGGCCGGTAGAGGCGGCGACTTGGCCGCTAGGGGAGGGCGACGGGGCCGCAGGTGACGGCGACGGGGCCGCAGGTGGCGGAGACGGGGCCGCAGGTGGCGGCGAGGTGGCCGCAGGTGACGCCGACGGGGCCGCAGGTAATGGCGACGGGGCCGCAGGTTGCGGCGACGGGGCCGCAGGTGGCGGCGACGGGGTCTCAGAGGGGCCGCAAGGGGCCTAGACGGGGCCGCAGAGGGGCCGCAAGGGGCCTAGACGGGGCCGTAGAGGGGCCGCACGGGGCCTAGACGGGGCTGCAGAGGGGGCCGCAAGGGGCCTAGACGGGGCGGCGACGGGACCGTAAGGGACCCAGACGGGGCTGCAGAGGGGGCCGTAAGGGGCCTAGACGGGGCGGCGACGGGGCCGTAAGGGGCCTAGACGGGGCGGCGACGAGGCCGTAAGAGGTCGTAAGGGCGCCGCGAGGGGGGCCGACGGGCGTCGCGAGGGGCCGTAAGGGGCCGTAAGGGCGGCGCGAGGGGCTGTAGAGGGCGGCGCGAGGGGCCGTAAAGGGCACCGCGAGGGGCCGTAAGGGCGGCGTAAGGGACCGTGAGAGGGGCCGCTAAAGGCGACGCGAAGGGGCCGTGAGAGGGCGCGACGGTAGGGAGGTTATACAGAGCGTGACTCGGGCAGGAGCGAAGCGTGCTCCGGGCAGGAAAAAAAATATCGTGGTGGGCCCTAGGAATCGTTCCCACTAGGGAACCTGCTCGATACCATGATAAGAAACGAGGAATGAATGCATTGAGCAGAATGAGGAGTACAAGTAGAAAACCCTTAAGTGTTGTACCCCATATGAACTGCCCCGCTACAGCCTACACAGACTATAGCATATATGCCTGACATGCCTCTCTACCACTAATCTCTTTACACATTAAGAATTACACCCCTAACTAGAAATCTACTCGTCGTCAGACTCCAGCTCCTCGCAGTTGTTGCCAAAGAAGCCGTTGGCGACGATCTCGTCATCGACGTCGACCTCGTGGGTCAGCTGGCTCCGCCTGTGCGCCATGGCAAGGTTGTCCTCACTGCCGTCAAGCGCGTTGCTGATGCCATAGGTGAGGAACGCCTTCTTGATCAGCTCTAGTGGCACGGCCTTCCAGGCCCGTGAAATCCACCTGAGCACCACCGCAGGGGGGGGCTTCTTGATGTTCCCTGCACCATAAGTCAGAGTGTGGGAGATGCTGTTGCACAAGATACACCGGGAAACGAAGCAGCTAGAAAGGGATAAAAGGTGGGGTTCTTACCTGCAGGAGTCAGCCGCTCTTGGCCGTCCTCTTCAAACCAGGTCCGGTAGTGCTGGCGGATGCTTGCTTTGAAGGACTTGTTGATCAAGACGTCCAGGGGTTGTACCTCCGTCGTACAGCCCGACGGGATCACCGCCGGAACGATGTGGAGGTCGACGAATTTCTCCTTCACTTCGTCCGTCAGATGACTGCGGTAGGAGTCAAGGACAACCATGGCACTCCTCGCCTGCCTGCCGGACCGAGGCCGGATGAAGGGTTGTACGCACTCCTCGAGCCAGCGCATGACGCCGTTGGCGTCCATCCAGCCGTTTGGGTGCACCGCCACGACCACATCTGCGATATCACAGACAGCCAAGAAACAGTCGTCATTATCACGACCGGAAAACCAAACAACTGCAGACCGTGGTGTGTTCTTACGTGGCGGGAAGTCACCCTTCGGCACCGTCTTGCGCTTGAAAAAGACCCACGGCTTGAGCTTCTCGCCGTCTGCCGTGCACGCCAGCATCACACTCACGCGTTCCTTCTAGTAGCCCCCGCTCCTGATGGGCACTGAGCAAACGCCCGTCTCCTCCACAGTCGTCGTGGTGGGCATCTCCAGCCACAGCGGCGTCTGGTCAGCGTTGATAATCCAGCGGGTTTCGATGCCGCGCTCACGCTGCTTGTCACGAACGTACTGCCAGAAAGACTAGCACTGCGCCGCAACGTCTGCGCACACACGGACAATGTTAAGAGGCACTGGTTAATCAACGACTGTAAATCAAAAACACAACAACTACACAGTGCTATAATTCGGTACTTATGCTCGGCGGTCTTCTGGGCAATTCTCGTCTTCATGCGCACGCTCAGATTCCAACATTTCCAAAACCGCTCCAACCACCGCTGGCTGCCCTTCCACTTTACATCGGGGAACAGAACCTTCATGTACTCCTTCGACCACTCCTGCAGGCGACCAACGGAGAGGGGAGTTCCTTTGCGGCGCCACTCAAGAAGCCTCGCGTAGACTTTCAGCTCTATCGGCCTGTACCACGATGACCTCCCGCGCCCATGCATCCGCTTCCGTGCTGAGTGCGCTTCCTTGAGCATGGCGGCGGCTTTCTTCCATTCCGCGAGACTCTTGCGGTGGATTCCAGACTCTCGCGACAACGACCGCAGCAACACGGCCACATCCATGCGCCCAATCCACTCCAGCTTCTCCTGCGCGGTATAAGCGTTGCGCTTATGCTGCGACGGCTTCTGCCTGGGAGAGGGGGGGCGGGAATCACGTTTCTTAGAAGAGGGGTGGGGGCGTTTGCGGTTAACCGGAGGAAACGTAGGAATAGGGAGCTTCTCGGGAAGTCCATCGCGCGACCAATACTCCACACCGTCGTCGTCCTCGCCGCCCGGGGCACCCTTGGGAAACACATCTGCCGCGTTGCCGGCCTCAGCGCCAGTGTCGGTGCCAGTGTCAGTGCCGGCCTCGGTGCCAGCCTCGGTGTCGGGCACATCGTCGTCAGCGCCCACAGCAGATTCGTCCCACGCACAATTTTGTGGCTGGCCCCATCGTGGTGCCGGGGCCGGAGCTGAAACCCAGACGTCGGGGGGCTTGTTGCTGTCACGTTTCGACATGTACTCGTTGAACGTCGACGGGTGCAGGAGCATCACCACGGGAGGATTTGATGGGCTGGCAAACACGGGTGGATTCGGAGGAGCAGGTGGAGCTGGAGGTGCAGGAGGACACGGAGGAGATGGCGGCGCAGGCAGCGCCGGAGGCTGCGATGGCTTTGGGGGCGATGGTGGGATACGGCTATACCAGCCGTCAGCGTCCATACGGAAGGCGGGCCTAGGCTTCTTCTTAAAAAGGAAGTGGGTGCCAGTAAATTCCGCCATGGCTTTCGCAGCCTGGCGGGCGAAACATGCTAAACTGATTCAGAACGAGCAAGATATGAGAAGAAATGGACTTCAGACGGGACCCCTGCGGCAGAGATTCAGATTCGTTTTGGGCCACCCTTAGTAATCAGGGTTCTAGGTATAGTCAACCCTGATGCTTAGGGTAAAATTTTTGTTTCCCTAACAAATGCAGGGTAAAAAAATAGTTAGTCTGTTTGGGCAGGGTATTCTAAAAAAATTGTGTATATTAAAAGTGCCAAAAGACACAACTTCAATGGCTAGTAGTTCGGCTGGGTTGATGGCAGATTAGATCTGGAAGATCGCAGCTTCGAATCTCGCTAATGAGATCATTTTGTAGGGACCTGTATAGTGTTTCGTCTTGCTACGGAGCACTCGGTACCAGTATAGCTGGGATTGTACAATGTACAGTCAGAGTAATGTGCTCCTTATGCTGTTTTTTAAAGGGTATTGAAAAACTTACACTTTCTAGCCTAGGGTAAAAAATTCACTACCCTACTTGAAAAAGGGTAACAGAAAAAAGGCGGCCATCAGTCTGTGCAAAAAGGGTATTTTACCCTGATAACGAGAGGCCTGCCCTGCGAGGAAACGGCTCGCCCTGCTCGTCAATGATAGACGGGTACCCCCACAGCCTGAACCCGCAGAGGATGAAAATGGGCGGCACACATGCTGCGGTGGCGGGGAATATTCGACCCCCTTCTAGAGGGATCGGCTGAGCTGCCCCTGCCTGGCATCGCATGACAGGGGATTGGGCTGCACGGCTGCTCCGGGACAGGATTTGTGCGGTGGGAAATCGAGTTGCTTCTGTTTTCGCTTGCATTTCATGCACGAAACCGACGCGAACGTTTGATGGGCGAATTCGCCTTAATGAGAGCTTCGATTTGGTACCCTTACAAACAAAATTCATTTTTTTTTTCCGTTTTATAAGCGTATGCTCTTATGCCCTTTCCTCAATTACAAGCGCCCCCCTAAAAAAGTCAATTTTATTATAAGCGCATATGGGCTACTGTCCGGGGTGATACGGTACTCATGAATGCCTGCCAGGGGACACGCGCTTGCACAGCAAGATGATATGATGCATAATCCTACATCATGCCTACACTGTCCACTCATTCAGAGCCCCCATGTTCCGTAGTTCGTGCAAAATAGGGAGGCATCAAGGAGAAACAAATCCCAATTGATCTAGTACGTGGGTCAGGAAGAACTATTTCCAGACCCAAAGGTAACACAACACACACAGCAGGGTGGAATCAACATAGAGAAAAATCAACACAGGGCAGATCAACTTGACAGGTTTGACAGGTTGTTGTGCCGATCATGCCGTCACCACCACAGGTTTAAGCACGGGAAAGAGCTCAAGAGAAGCCTTCTCCTTCTCTATATCCCCCACCTCAACAACCACCTGCCCTTCCCTCCATCCCCCACCCTTCCCATTCTTCACGGCCTTTCCAGCCTTTCCAGCTGCCTCTTTTCCTGTCTCCCCAGTGCTCACCTCACTCCTCTCCTTCCACTTGCCTGCTCCCCACACGTGCACCAGCACGCGCCGTCCAAGCACCTTCCCTCCACCATCCCCATTCCCATCCCCCTTATAAGCCTCCCCGTTACCTGCCTCCAATGCACCGGCCTCTCCGTTCTCGCCCATAATGCTGTCCTTGTCAGCGCCGTCCCCCCTGTCGCTGTCGGCGCCAGCTGTCATGCTGATGTGGCGGTCGAACCATGCACACAGCTCGGCAAGCGTGATGTTGCAGAGCGCCACAGCCTCCAGCTGGCGCGAGTTGAAGAGCGAACTGGGGTGAAGGTGGGGGGGAGGAGGGTTTGGGGAAATGGGGTTTTGGGGGAAAGGAGGGTGTAAGATTACCCAATCATGCAGCTCAGCTCAGCATGCGAGCGTGATGTTGCAGAGGGCTACAGCCTCCAGCTGGCGCGAGTTGAAGAGCGAACTGGGGGAATGTCGCAGCAATGGTGGGTGGTAAGTGGAGGGGATGGGGGAGAGGGGGAAAAATAAGGGGGGGGAGATGGGGAAGAGAACGGTGTGGAATGCAATCATACAGGGAGCTTTGGGACCTTTTTCAAATATACCTCGCACAGCTTGAAAAAATACAGGAAAATGTGGAAAATGGAAAAACTGGGGTTCACCTGCCCTCCCAGATTTGCTCCCAGTAGCGGTGCGTTTCATCCCCCAGTGTGTGGTCCTTGCGCATCTTCAGCACCTGCAGGGCCGCCCTGTGCGCCCTGAAATCAGCTTCGGGCAGGGCGCTCTGAAGTTAGAGAGAGAGGGAGAGACATGGAGAGATGGGGAGAGAGGGCGAGGGAGGGAAAGCTAGTGAGAAGGGGAGGAGGCATCTTGATAACCTGCAGCGCTGCTCTGTGCCCCCTGAAATCAGCTTCGGGCAGGGCGCTCTGCTGCGGAGACGGAGAGGGAGGGAGGAAAGGGCAAGAGAGCGTGAGAGTGAGTAAGTGAGCAGGGAAGGGCGCAGCTTGAGCACCTGCAGCGCTGCCCTGTGCACCCTGAAATCTGCCTCGGGCAGGGCGCTCTGAGGGGCGGAGAGGGAGAGGGAGGGAGGAAAGGGCAAGAGAGCGCGAGCAAGGAGGGTGGACAAGAGAGCATGAGCAAGTGCATGCGCTCTGGGAAACAGGGGTGAGACAGGAAGTGGGGAGAGAGAGAGAGGGAGCTAGGGAGGGAGCTAGGCCCACTTCTGGCTTACTGCATCCAAATAAAGAAGTAAAATACCTTGGAAGTTGCTTTTGAGTATTCTGACAGAAGCCAAAGGCAGCTTGTCATCTCAACAGGTGCGTGCAGTACTTACCAGGTTATCTCGGAAGGTGGTGAGGAGAGGAAGGAGTCGACTCGTTGCTGCAAGTATTCCGGGCCGTGGTCAGCCGATTGCAGAAACCACAGCCGTGACCACAGCAGGTTCTTACCAGGTTACCGCGGAAGGTGTTGAGGAAGGAGTCAACGCGCTGCTGCAAGTATTCCGGGCCGTAATCAGCCGACCGCACGCGGATGCAGAAGCCAAAGACAGCACTTTCATTCAAATACAGTTGTCACCACAGCAGGGCTCCTACCAGGTTATCGCGGAAGGTGTTGAGGAAGGAGTCAACTCGCTGCTGCAGAAATCCGGGGCCGTAATCAGCAGACTGCACGCGGATGCAGAAGCCAAAGACGCCGTGTGTGAGGCGGGTGCCGCAGTCCACGCGGTACCCCAGCTGCTCCTTGGTGCGCAGCGTGTCAAAGAGCGGCTCTGACATGACCTGCGGTGTGCAATAAGGATGAATGAGGGAAACATGAGAGACGTATGTGGGAATGCATGAGAGATGGACGGGATGGAGAAAACTACTCGATCCCACCCCAAAAAAGAAAGAAAGAAAGAAAAAAACTTCCGGAAGCGAGGTGATTTGAGTGCCGCATTTTCCTCTGTACCCCACATTCATAGATGGCTTATGAACAAAACAAATGAGCAGACTCCTCTTCCTCACCTGCTCAAGTAGATCCACCAGTGATCGGTCTCGGATGGACGCCCTGCCTTGGTCCTGACAGGCCTGGTAGTACACCTGATGTGATGGGGGTCGGGCAAAAGGGGAGCGGATTGACAAAATTTGAGGACTGCACGCAGGGCACAGCAGGCCTGTAAGACCTACTTTATACCCAAATCTCTGGACCAGACATTTAGGTGGGACCTGCTCCACCCCCATCTGCCCCACTTTCACCTACCCCACTCCTACCTGCCCCTCACCTCGACTGCAGAATTCTCCTCGGCCGGGTTCCCCACGGGGCTCTCGACCAACAGGGACTTGCCACGTGGCAGCTGCAGGCAGCGCTCTGAAGGGAGGTCCAGCAGCGGAGGGGAGGGCACCGGGAGGGTGTCTGTGACGGCTGAGGCGAGCGCTAGTGCGTCCTCCTCTGTTGCATTCCCGTGAATCAGCATTTCTATGTATGTCTGGTGGAAAAAGTGGGGAGTGGGTGTAGAAGGGGGATGGAGGGGACGGCACCAGGAGGGTGTCTGTGACGGCTGAGGCGAGTGCTAGAGCATCCGGTTCTGTCGCATTGCCGTGAATGTGCATTTCTATGTGCGCCTGGGAGCGAGGCAAGGTGGCGAGTGGGGGAAAAAGGGGGACAGACTTGAGTGAAGTGAAGGCTCGCAGCCTTCAATCACCGGTGGGTTTCAAAGCTCAATCCTTACCATGCCGGGCTCGTTGCCTCCAACAAGACTCGAGTGAAGTGAAGGCACCAATAGGGCTGAAGCGGTTCAGGCAGGGATGGTTCAGGAGGGCACGCGCAGCAGCCTTCAATCACTGATGGGTTTCAAAACTCAATCCTTACCATGCCGGGCTCGTCGCCTTTAACAAGTCTCACCCGCGAGAAGAGCACCCGCAGGAACTCGTTCAGATCGTCCACCTCGCACGCAGTTAGCGCCGATAGCTTGTCCGGGATGGTCCAGGCGGGGGTGCGCAGCAGCAGCAGACTGCAAAACCCAATCAGTATCGTGTTGCATCTAACAAAACTTACCCGGGAGAAGAGATTCTGCAGAAAGGCGTTCAGATCGTCCACCTCGCACGCAGTTAGCGCTGATAGCTTGTCCGGGATGGTCCAGGCGGGGGTGCGCAGCAGCAGCAGGCGGAGATACGCCGAGTGCTTGAGGGGCTTTAAGAGCGCGTTGCGGTACGCGCGGCTCCGCTCCTCCTTGAGCGCGCTGAAGCGGTCGGCCGCCGCCCGGAACATGCTGATGTGGCGGAAGATGCGGGCGGCGAGCGTCGGCAGCTTGTGGCTGAAGCCCGTGATGCGGATCTCGATCTTAAAGCCCTGCACGGCCATGTTCGTGTCTAGCTTGGCCACACTCGCCTGCAAAAGGGAGGAGGGGAGAAAAGGGAGGGGAATTGGGGAAAGGGGGTCAAGGTGGGGATGTTAAAGCCCCGGACGGCCATGGAGGTGTCTAGCTTGGTTACACTCGCCTGCAAAGGCGGGGAGGTGGAAGGAAGGAGGGTAGATAGAGGATGTAACATGATGGGGCGATTTGCAGAGTATGCACGCATTGACATGCAAAGATACCCAGACAGGCAGAAAGACACACACACAGGCACGCCAAAGCCTCACCAGGTAGAGGGTCTCGTTTAGAGAGTCTTCGATAAGCTTCACAGCCAGCTCAGTGAGGGCGGCGGAGCGGGGAGAGTCGCAGGCGTGAGGGGAGGAGAGGGCGAAGTGGGCGTTGAGGCGCGGCGAGCGGAACACGTCGTCCTGCTTGAACCACACCTTGCACCGCCCCGCCTCCTCCCTCACCACCCGCGGCACACTGGGTGCACTAGGCGCACTGACAGCACTGGGAGTGGTCCCGTTGAGGGGATCACTGCTGTTGGTGGCAGCAGCCGTGGTGGTGCTGGCGGTGGCGGTGGTGGCAGTGGTGGTGGTGGTGGTGGTAGCAGAGGCGGCAGCAGTGGAGGAGGGGCGGAGGGAGAAGTCGGTGGGGATAAACTCGTTGGGGGGAGGCATGCGCAGGTCGGGGCTGAGCCACGTGTCGCTCGCCCATTGGGCCAGGAGAGCCGGGGAGAGCAGGGTTGTGGTGTAGGGCACATCGAACCACGGCTCCTTGAGAATACCTGTAGCATGGGAGAGAGGTATAGAAGTTAGTGAATCTGTTCTGGTACGTCCCGAAACGAATTCACTATCGCCTGGTTGTGGTGTAGAGCACTCCGAACCACGCCTCCATTGAAATGCCTGAGGGAGATAGGGAGGGAGAGAGAGGCATAGAGTGGGATCAATGAGTGAGTAAGCGATGAGCGCGAGAGGGAGGGAGCAGAGACGACAGAGAGGGTAGAGAGGGCAGCAAGGCCTGAAGCCTAGGCCCTATAAGAACACGCGCTCACCTTCTCTGGTGTGGTCGAAGGAGTGAGTGAGCAGGTCCAGGCGCACGGACTGTGGCGAGAGCAGCGAGAGCAGGTAAGCGATGCGGTCAGGGTCCCACTTGTCATGAATGTAGTCCCCTGCTATCACATGCCGCTTGGGGTAGTAGAACATGTTGCCTGGGAGGGAAAGGGGAGCAGTGAGAGCAGAGAGAGCAGGAAGAGAAGAGAGTGCAGGTAGGCAATGCGATGGAGTTCCCACTTGTCGTGAATGTGGTCCCCTGCTGTCACATGCCGCTTGGGGTAAGTTGCCTGGGAGGGGAGGGGGGGGGGGCAGGGAGCAGAGGGAAGAAGATGTGATCCCTTGCAATGACGCGCTTCTTGGGGTAATAGAACATGTTGCCTGGGGGGGCCAGTGAGATAGGGGAGGGTGGAGGGGAAGAGGTAGCAGGGTAGAAGCGAGAGTAGCAAGAGCAGGTA